AAACGCCTCGCGGGGGGTTGCTTACCCCGAAGGGTCGCATCAAGGTATTTGCAAATTAAATCGGCATTCAGCCACCCCTTTGGCGAGAGCAACCCCCGCAGGGAATACATTACGAGTAAAATTCATCGTCTCCTCAACAAATTGACCAATCCCAGGCGACCCGTGTATCGCATTAAGCAAATGGCGAGTACCACCCCTTGGCCTCCAACCCTTTCACCCCTCACCCCTGTTTCAGGGGGTGGAACAGGGTTCGCATAAGCGCGCCCGCCGCGAGTCCTGATCGATGTTATGTGGAGCCTACGGGGATGTTCCGGGGTGCAGCCTCCCGTCTCTCGTGTTTCACCATGAAACCACCCTATCTAGCCACATCACGTGAGGCCGAAAATTTCACGTCATGTTAGGGGTGAGCGCCGACTTTGCGTCCTTTGCAGAACGGCGCGTCGCCGTTGCATCGGGGAAGTGATCGATACTCGCCGTTAATTAGCCACCGATTCTCTCCTTATAATCCGCAATTATCGTATTTGCCGTAATACGGCTTTGAGGGCTCGCTTGTATACCTAATCCCTCGAAACGGGAATTCTGGGCCACGCCGAGAATGCGTCGGGGAGCTTCACCCCAGTCTGTCTGCGTTTTACCCCGAAACCACCCCCGGCGAGAGCGGGGGGACTAGCAAATTTTCAAGCGATGTTCCCGGAGTAGATGGAGACAAATAGTTGAACAGATAAGGGTAGGTATGCGGGGGTAATAGACGGGACGCATAGATGGGTACACCTCATTATCCTGTTCCACTTCCGGTCGGAAATGCTCGCTTAAGAGAGGTTTCAGCTTCCTCGTATAGGGGATTTTCTCGACTTACAGGGCTTTGCCATAACCAGTAATTACTTCGACCAAGATGGTAAACGCGGAACTTTGAACGCTTGGTGAGGTAACTTATTAATGGTTTTGGTAACTCATTAGTTGTCTATTTAAAATTCTATTGATCCATTTCAAGTCTCGAGACGATATTTCAAAATATTTTCATTAAGAGATCACAACTCTCTGTCAAACCACTCTGAATTTTCCCGTCGGTCGGCGAGAAGCTTCCGATTTTCCCGAAAATCCTCGCGATACTTCACGGGGGTGGTTTCCCCAGGGGTGGCGGTGTGGTTTAATAAATCTGCGCGTATCTCCGTCCGAATTATCCAGTAATTTCAATTAGCGTGTGACTGTCGTCTCGCGGCTCTCCCAGGGGGTGGGTACGAGTGTCCAGCGGCCTGGGGGTGCGAGATTTATGTCGGGTCTCTTTTTGCTCCCCGCTATCCTCGCATGGAGTGAAGGGTCGCGATAGAAAGATGTTATTTTTATACAGGGAGATTTATAAGGTAGCTCATCTGGCTGGGCCGGTTGGCGTATCGCTATTTTTTCCCCTTTTATCCGGCCTCTCGGGGGTTGGCGCACCAGATACTCGCCCCTCCGTCACTGTCTCTTATCCGCCGCGTTTTGCCGCACACCCCCCAGTTTCCTTTGCGATTCTTTTTGCTAGCCAACTCCACCTACACCCCCCTCTCGCGATTTAACCGTAAAACTACCCCTCGTCGGGGTAGCTTCCGTTGATAAACTCGGTCGGCAGATTCGAAGGCTTCCAGGGCACTATACATACATATATCGCGGGGGTGGGAACCTTTCAAAATGTCCCATCAAGGGTTCCAGTGATCCTTAAGGGGATGCAAAAGTGGCATCCGATGAGTCAATCGTTTGTGACACTTTTCTCCAAACTGAGTGCACCGAATCCTATCAAACTTCACAACGTGAATGTAAAAGTCATAGGGAAAGTCTCGACACCCATGAAATATCATTTTTATACAAAATAAAAAAAATGCATATAAACAAATTTTTGAAAAATTCAATTTTCATGATTGTCAGGACTCTCCTTATAGTCTCCGTATTCACGCTGTAAATTTTGAAACGATTCGGTGCACCCTGTTAGGAGAAAAGTATCATAAGACTTCGTCATCGTCACTGTCACGTCACCTTAATCTAGATATAATTGACAGGTATACTCGTCATGAAGGCATGGAATTTCAAAGATCACAGTTAACTACTTAATAGATACACCACGTCCACCCCTCAACCAACCCGATCCACCCCCAACGAGCAAGACTTTCGCTTTAAGTTCCCCAGAGTCGCGGCTTCCGGTTTTATCCCCCTTTCCCCGGAAGTGCCGACGCACCCCAGATTGCGCAACCCCCAGGATAATTTGTCATTTTTCTCCCTTCCTGTGGAAACCACCCCCGGCGATGGTGGACACCAAAGGACCATCCCTCCTCCAGAGTCAACCCGGCGTGTCGGGGAATTGAAAACGCGCAGGAAGGCGACAAACCTCTTCACCGTTGCGTTAACACGCGGGACGAAACTCACCCCTTTGTGAACCCTCCACCCCCCGGGCTCCCCCTGATTTCGACCTGCTAATTCTCAAGCGAGCGATTAATACCGACACCTAGCTCCGTTTCCGTCAGTTATTCCGTCATGATCCACCCGCGGAATGTATTAAGCAAGCGGAAACTAGGGGGGGTAGGGCCGCCACCCCTAAATAGATGATCAATTTCCCCCACAATTTCCGAAAAAAAAAAAGGAAAAGCCTTCCGCTCGATGCGAACCTACTGGGGGTGAATTGCACTCGGATGCAAACTCCTAGTGTCTGTCGAAAAAAAAAAAAACGTGGAGAGGGAGAACCGTGAGATAAAAAAACGCGCAAATTATAGATCGATAGCTGGCGGCTCGGAGAATTTCGATGCGCTCGAGAGGGATTCGCTTGAGAGTTTTGGGTATTTTTTTCCATCATACGTCGAGGAAAAAATCGTAAAAGAGAAAAGTTGCTTTCTAGAGCATTTTCAGCCCGTTAGTTCCTTCGGACGAGTCTCGCCTTTTAACTAGGAAACTTTATGAAATCCTCGGAAATTTGTCGCGACATGTCGCGCATACGTACATCCGAAATTTCCAAGGGAACGCGCCTAATATTTCCTGGGGATTTTACGGGTTTATTTGTAATCTAGGGTCGGTATTATATTCTGACCCTCTACTTCCGGGGTGGGGACCGGAAGTGGTGCGACGGAAGCGCGTAACACGGTAAGGCAAGGATCCCCTCGAAATTACGAGCGCCCTCTGTCGCTGGCACGCTACCACGCCTGCCGCATTGTCGGCGCGTTATTTCGTGGGCTTCCCTTTTCTTTCCCTTTTTTTATCCTTTATTTCACTTCCTTCTTTCGGGCCACATCTCACGGCGGTCGGGACAATGGCGGCCCGCCACCGGAACGCCCGTGCGAATCATTCTCGAGAGGAAGCGCCATCTTTATGGGGCTGCCCGATTAGCTCTGGAATGCACCCGCTATGCGCTTTGCATTCAGCAGAGAATGCACCCGAGATGCAGCATGTCAGCTAATTTTAATTCCCAGTATTAAACGGGTTTTAATTTAATTTTGATTGTTCTAATTAATTTGCGCCATGTGAGTTAGTTTAAATTCCTAGAATTAAACGGGTTTTGGATTTAATCTCGATTGTTTTAATTAAATTGCACAGTATTTAAATTTCTACTTTTCAAATTCATCTCTAGGGTTTAAAATTCTAATATTTATATTAATTTTCATTATTTAACTCTAAAAATACTACCGACCGGTTGAATGATCGTTTTTACACGGGAATGGGGCATAAATTGTTGGTAGATTCAGTATCACTTTAATTTTTGTCACTTAAATTAGTTTCTATTATTTAAATTAATCTCCGCATTCAAATTAATTCCTATTATTTTATCAGGACCTCTTCCGCGCTCTTCTCGTACTCTTTGGATTCGACCCGAGGTCCTCGATATCCCTTGAAAGAATGCGCGTTGAATTATACATTCGTCAAGAAGAGGGAATGGCAAATGACGGCTCTGGGCTTTATACTTCTTTCCCGTTCTCCCGGGATCGATACAGGAAGGGCCAGTTGGATTGTTGATTTTACTTTAATAATGGCTTCGGGTCTCGGCTCGCCCCGTAGTTGTATAAACGTCACGCAAGTTCTTATCCCTCCGTTTTATTACCCGGCCACCCTCTCATCTGATCTCCTTTATGACAATATTTGACGTAATCGCCGAGAAATTAACCAGAGAATTTTCTCCATGTCAACGAAATATTTTCTCACGTGACAATCGTATTCCACTCTGTGATAGTCGACGAGAAACTTTTACTGACAATTAGTCAATCACAAAGATCCTTCCGATGTGCGAGGAGGCGTTGCATAGATGTCCTTCGAGGTGGAGGGATGGGTCCAAAATCGAGGATCGAGGATCCTGGACAGGACCCCTCCAACGGTGACCTTTTCCGAGGATCATTTGGTCCCTCGTCTCTGGGACATTGTCATTTTGTATTCAGAACGGCTCGATCGTGCACTCCGGGGCTGCGTCTCCGGCCTCGACAAAAGAGGACATCGATTTCCCTGCCGCGCGACTCTTTCACAATGGCCGAGCGTGCATTTAATTACTGCCGATTGCAGCCATTGTCCCTCCCCCTGTGGCTGGCCTTGCGATTACTGCAGACATTCGCCCTAACGAGTTCGCGCGACTCATCAAGACTTGACGAAGGCTCGGCTCTTCGTGGTCGCAGTCGCGTTAATCAGGTGACTTCAATTTTAATTGGTATCGTATTTTTAGGGAACGTAGAAATCAGTGAATTCGAGTATCGAGACACCCCATGTTGGACCAGTTGAAGATTTCCGAGTCGACATTTTAGCCCTACTTTCCTCTATTTTGTTCTACTTAAATTTCAACTTACGTAACGTAAGTTCGCCATTTTTTCGTCCTGTTTCACTCTTTGAGATACACTTTCGGTGTTGAGACCGATTTCATGTAAATTGAGTATTACTCTAGGTCTGTAAAAACGAAATGGAAATATCCGAGGACTTATGGGTCTTTTTTCATTTTTAGATCTACAATTGGAGGTTGTAAGTGGAATTAAAATTTTGAATTTGCAGGCTTGGGTACTCACGTTCTTCACGGCGGTCTTCAGCTGCCTAGATCCTCTCCACCAGGTCAGCACTGCAGGGGGTCTCGACCCGGTGCTTCTGCATTCGATCTCGTATTTCTTCTCCGCCGAAACGGTCCTCTCCTTTGTCGCAATTTCTACCGTTAGCGGCCTCACTGGAAAAGGAGAAAAGTTAGCACTGGTAATAAGTATTCATAAAAGTCGTACACTTTCATAACTCGCTAGTACAAAATTAATACGATTGTCGCTAAGATTTTTGCTTTGTTCCCAAAGAAAGTTGTTCTGTCCTGAAGGGCAAAACGTCCAAGTTAAGTATAATTTTACGACACAGGCTTCGTTCGCCATTTTTAGGTCAATAATAATTTTTGTAAGTATCATGAAACGTGATAAATAAATATTCGAATATTTTTTCTAACGGTGTTAGACGGAATTTGTTCCCAAAAGAAATTACCCTCTTCGGAAGCACGAGGACACCTAACTTTCAAAAGGGTGGTTCCCCAGGCGCGACACAACCCCACGGAAGAGACCTCGAGTCTGCGGGGAATCCAAGGCGGAAACGCCGGAATAATTGGCCGACTTCCTCGACGAGTTTCCTTCCTGACGAGCGGAAAAATCGCGGCCCTCGATCGGGGCCGGTAATTAGACCGACTGCCGGAAAACGCTTTTAAAAACCCCGAATCGTTGAGGAGGCCGTCATGAATGCTGCATGAGGTCTCGGGGAACATCGGATCGTTTTGCTTCCCCTGGATCAATTTGAAATCTTTCCCAATTTCCCGAAAGCCATTCCCAACTTTTTCTTTTTTTCAATTTCTCTTCGATCGTTTGCAATGAGCCACGCGAAAGGAACGTGCATCATAAAGTGGTATTAATCATTTTCGGGCTAATTATTCTGCATGTGGAGCTTTCACGCGCCACGGAGTTAATGGCTTTTCATAAGAAATTGGATTATTTCTAAATCATGTCAAATTTCCCGAAAGCTATTCCGAATTTTTTACCGATACTCATCGTGTATCTTTTATGCGATCACTCCGGGAAGGAACGAGTATCAGGAAGTGTTATTACGTATTCTCGGGCTAATTGTTCTGCACGTGGAGTTCTCGCGCAATATGGGGTTAATGGCTTATCAGGGACTGGACGTATCAGGGGAAAGTTTCCGCCATTAGAGGCGCTTTTTGCTCTCGATTGGCCGTCCATTGAGCCTCCATCGTACGGTTCCGCGAAACATTCGAGGTACCTATATACGCGCTTCCGAATATGTAGTAAATAGGAAATTTGCATACGCGAGGGTAGCGAAGTTCACCCGTTCCCTCTGCCCGTCGACGTCGGCTGAACTTCTGGTCATTCATTAACAATTAAAACGTCGCAAATGAGAGCGGCCTATTAATTAAAGCGAGACGTTTAGCGCGGCTTTTAGCACCTTCTGGAGAAAGGTCGGACTTTCTCGTCGGCCCTTATAATCGAGTTTTAAGGTGATACAAAAGTGGCGTCAAAGAGATCTCGTTTGAAAATGTCTATAAACAAATGTTAAAGAATATTGAAATTTCTTGGGTGTCAGGACCTTCCTTACAGCCTCTGTATTCTCGTTGGAGTGTTTTAAACGATTCGGTACACTCAGTTTGGAGAAAGTATCATGAACAATTGTCCTCTTAGATACCACTTTCGTGTTACCTTAATGCCTGCCTTCAGGCTTTGTTATCTCTGAATTCCGCCATTTTTATTCGGCCCGGATCGATCTCCGCCTCGGCCTCGAAAGACGATGTACATATTTTACAAAAAGAATAATCCTCACTCGGGCGAGCCGCGAAATTTCGACGCCTACACAAGGCACGGCTTGAAGTCTCCATTTTTCTCGACCCCCGGGGCCTCACCCGAGGGAGAGAGAAATATTCGTCGCTTTCATGCTTCGCCCCGGAAGATATCCTCTGGGAAAGGTGGCCGGACACGGGGTTGGCAGCTTTGCATCGCCAGCTCAGGGGGAATCATTTATTTCGCCGATCGCTGGGAAATTCTCTACCCCTTTGTGATACTTGGGCGTCTCGAGAGGACATCTATATCACATTTATAAATGTGACAAAAATATAGCGACTAAATAGTAAAAGTACATTTATATCTTAAAATTAAAGAATTGCCTTCCCTCGAAACCGGTGCTCAATAAAATTAGTAATCTCAAATTAAAATTGGAAAAATTTATTTCTCTCGAAGTCTCCACTCAATGAAATATGACATTTAAAAATAAAAATCGATAAATGACTTCCACTCAAAGTCTCCGTTTGGCAAAACATGTAATTTAGAAATAAAAGTGACATCCGTACCGAGATCTTCACGCAACAATTTAAACACCTTTATAAATTAAACTAGAAAAGGGTCGCCTCCCCCAAAATGACTACTAAACAAAACCAGTGATTTAAAATTAAAAGCGTTAAAACGACTTCTTGCCAAATCTCTCCTCGCCAAATTGAACGCATTCACAAATGAAAGAAGAGAAGTAACCTCCCCTCGAAATCGCCCCAACCGGTGGTTAGCATTTTCCGAGTATCCCCTGGGCCATGGAATCCAGATTATTTCCGATATACCGAAAAGATGGCGGCTTTCGGGGGTTGCGGAGGGCTGGAGGGCCGGTTATCCCCGTGCAGAGGAGCATTAAATTCGAGTTTTCGAAATTAAACTACTATTAGGAGCTGTTCCGCGCAGGTTGGATGAGAATGGCGTCCACCCCCGTTGGGGGTGGATTCCCCTCTCTATGGGGGGGATCCAGTCGACGAGCAGGGGAGCGTTCGCTCATTCGAGTGACCAGCTCGGGGGTTGTTTCGGGCAGTCGTGACGTTTTCAGGGAAAACTTTCCTCGTTTGCCGGATCGGTAGCACTCGGATTCGTTTTCCCGGTCCCCTCTCGTGCCCCATTTTCCAGGGTTTCCGGGCCTGCGGCCGAAGAGTCCCGGTTTGCCGAAAAAGGACACGGTGGGCAATTTTGGGAATATTCCCGAAAATTAAAAAGAAAAAGAGAATCGCATCGCGTTTCGTGCGGAAACACGTGGAGCTGGAAATCGCTCGGAAGAGGTTTTCGGGTCGCAGTAACGAGGGTCCTTTGTATGCAGATCGGGGACACCGGATCTGTTTATGGCACGTTACCTTCCGCCGTATCACGTGGGCTTCGTTATCGGGCCTTGCTGTCGAGCTTGCAGCGAATACATTAAATCAAATACGAGATACAATGCGAGGCACTCCAGGTCGGCGCTCCACCGTGGGTGGATGGTCTTTGGGCTCGCCCAGGGCGGAAAAAGGTGAAGGGACAGCGGAAATTCAGGGGAAGGGAAAAACCGCGAAGAAGGACCTCGTCTGCAAAGTTTGTCCGGAAAGGACGACTGGGAAATTTAATTGGCGCGTCGAGATTCCGGGGAGTGGGAAAAGGGTGGTGGGTGGAGGAGAGGGTGGTAGGGGGAAGGGCGAGGGGGTGGAAAAGGGGGCGCTGCACCGCGGGATGCAATAAGCTCCTCTTCTTTCCGGCATCCGCAAGCCCAGCTTTCAGAAGAAGCCACGTCAGCCCTTGGCAATATAATTTTCATTCGCTAAAAGCTGGCCGCGAAACAATCGAGCTTGCGGCTGGACGATCGAGGAAGACGGTTTGTTTAATTAAAACAAGCCCGCCGTCGACGAGAGCTTGCGCCTCCACGGGGAAGCTAGGTTTTTGTCTGGAATTTTGGATGCCTTCCGACTACCTCCGTCGAGCTTTTCTTCAGCTTTTCCGAAAATCCTTCATTGACGGTCTCCTTATCTTCATAGAAAATATGAAAAATATTGAGAAAATCAACGTATTTTTGGAACAAATTATTCTTTGCTTTCGAATTCCATTCGAACTGGGCAATTTAGACTCGAGTGAAAGCTCCCATGGCATCGCCGTTAATAATCGGTGATTGTCTGAAAGATCCGGACTCTCGGGATTAATTAACCGGCGGGAAGTTAAGAGTGAAGCTTGGCAGCTCGATCGATCGACCGATCGATTCCTGATCGCGTTTACGGCGGCGCGGATTAGCGACTGCTGGATCCACCGGAAAGCTCTAAGGGGATTGGAAATTAGGGCGCGGTTATGACCGTGAATGCGCATTAACTCATTGCCCGTTGGGTGGCTTGCCACGTCAACTTCGGATCGATCGTGTCGAATCGATCGGCAATCCGGAGATGACGGCCAATCGAGAACCTCCTCCCACCTTCTTCCCGAGTCGCTAATTTTCCCCGAGGTTTCGGCCATTCGCGAGGGGATAATGGCCGGACCGTAGATCTGACCGTAGTTGACCGCAACGACCACGCATCAGCGGCTTGTCTGCGAAACCTCGCCGCCTGCGGAAACGGACGAGTCCATCTCCCCTCCAGGTTATTGCCATAATTCACCGGTATACCATTCGTCCCCGAAATGTCACCGTGGGGAAGTACTCGAGCCCGGTAACGAGAGAGCGTACCTATCTCTTGCCATTATCACTTATCAAATTGCTTCACTTGAGAATCTATTGCACGTATACCGAAAACGGTCCTGACTGAGATCGCCGAGAAATATATACATGTATAACGATGTAGAATGACCCTATCATAACACCTTAATACCTTAATTTTTTCTATTCTCATATCACCAGTCCGACTCGTCACAAAGAAACAAAGGGTTGACGCAAGTCCGATAAGTTGTAGTCAAAAATTTCTATTGTCAACTGTCACGTGCAGGCGTCCATAAGGGAACGATCGATCAGTTTATCATATTAAAAATTAATTTATCCGCTCTGATAACAGTTGATAGGTGTGCAGTAGGGTGCGTAGGCACTAGTGGGCTTCGATGAAATAATCGACGTAAAATTAACGGGGGTGGGCGTCGCGGCGCGGCAATCATGGGGCCGGCGGGCGCCTTTGTCGTCGCGGCGTGTTTACGCTCGGATAATATTATCGCGAGACAGCGAGTCTAATTAATCACTCTGATTAACCGGGCAAACTTCCGTTCGAGTTCCGTGCACTTGCCGGCGAGTTATGTGGCGCAATATGTAATACATACACCGCGCGTCGCGGCGGCGCTCCTCGGCAGGGCGCGAACTACGACGACGCTGGGCGTCGCGACCCCCCAGAGGGGAGGAGATACCCACGCGGTTACCGGGAGCGACGAAGAGGGGGAAGCGATT